CCTTTATGGTCCCCGGAAAGTGCATAAACCCGGCCCAACCGTCAGGCCCATCCTCGATACATCTAACTATCATGATCATGCCTTGGCTAAATGGCCCGTCAGTCTGTTAGAACCAATCAGAATAGAGTGCCGACAAGGCCTGAGAGACAGTTTAGACTTCGTCACTTAGATTAAGGATCTGAAGCTTGATAGGGACTCTATCCTTTCTTTGGACATCGAGCCATCGTTTACTAATATACCACTGATTGAGACAATAGCCTATATTTGGGACTTGAATAATTGCTAAGGTACAAATATCCTCTTTCGGATTCCCATCTCGGATATTGAGTAACCAATGCTAATCTTTACCAATAAGGCTTAGTTTACTTTCAGCAACCCAATTTATCAGTAGAAAGACGGCGTGGCGATGGGGTCTCATTTTGGTCTAATGTTGGTAATTTTTTCCGTGATCAAACTCGAGACGCAAAAATTCAAAACACTCACCGCAAGGTTCGCATTGTATTTTCGCTACGTAGACGATAACGTCGTACGTGTCGAAGAAACCATCATCATAACAAGCGTGCTAATAAGTTTTTCCTTAGTCCATATTAATGTCAAGGTTACTGTCGAGCCAGAACAGAGAGAGAGTTAAGTTTCCTCAGTGTCAGTATTGAAAATAAGCTTGATACGGCCATACAGCGCAAAGTCCACAGAAAGCAAATTTAGACATGTCAGTATATACACTATGATAGATTCGTTTCGTTGGGGACTATATTGATACCAATATGTGTATGAGCTTCAACTCCAGCCCTACTATCAGGCTCCGTTTGAAGGACGGATTGCCACAATCTACCACCAGCTTTTCTGTGTACTCGTTTGTATTCTTGTACCGAGCACTATACGTTGGTCGTGCGACAAGGAACTCGTCCCCGTGTCTCCGAGTGTTAGTTGGAGGAAACAAGGATCAAGTGCAATTACGCCATACTTGGCCGAAACCAGTCATCATCAAAAAAGACCAATGCTTTGCTATCATATACCGGTGTTGAGGTTCCCGATACGGAACTTCGAGTGACGCATAGGTTCGATATTCCCAAATATCAAAAGGAAGAATTGGGTTCGTAATTTTACGGTACTATTTACACAAGAGTAAGTAAATATGTACAACAAACCTCAGTTGTTCACGTTCGTTGCGTCAACAAGTTCACTGACCAGCATATTGCAATGTCAACGTCCGCACACCAAACACAACGAGCGGAATCATGGCGTAGGTTGCGACTGCCCTTCCGACGACAATCTCGTGATTCTAATTGGACGTGTGATCACAAGCCAGGGCAGGCTCAGCGAACGGGACATGAGCGTGCATGGTAAGTGGGTCAGTTGCGCACATTCACATAGACACATGTCAATACACAAGTGTCGAACAGGACGACCTCTGCGGCAAGGTGAGTGTCGGGTACGGATAAGCAAATCAACTGGAGATCAAAAATTACGTAGGTGGAGTTAGCAAACGAAAGGGGTAATTATCATAAGCTCACGTTAGATTCGACAATCGGTTACCTTTGAACCGAAAACGACTGGCACGGTCGACCGTTATCTATCGCAGAGGGCATTGGAATCCAACTGCTGGACCCACAACTATTAGTCCAAAGAAACTTTGTGACGTCCGAGCTTGAAGTGGTCGACGAAAATTCCGGTCCCACAAGTTTGTCTGACATTGACGTCACTTATTTGATTAAGTGATACATTGACATACCACTCATTCAAGCCCCCTTCCCTTATTTTCCATTTCACTAAAGTGTATGTACCTCCAACCTAACTTTTTTCGCTTGGTTTTTGACACCCTATAATTTGTGATGTATTAGCCAAGAGAAACAATTCCAGAAAAACAGATGTGTTCTCTGCCTCCGTTGTTCTCAAAATGGTCGTTCCCCCCAAGTTCATATTTCACTTGTACGTCACTATTGTCTACAAACTTGAATATATCAATAGTTCAACATGTGCTAACAACTGAAAATGCAACTTGAGATCTGAAAGTGAAATGAATGAAATTGAATTGAAATTACAATGTGCCTTCGGACGAGGTTAAATGTTTTCGCATGGTGATGCCAGTGACAAACACTTCTACGCACGTCCTAAAATCTCGGGATGGGGATTCTTTTCTCATTCCAGTCTACCAGTTTCGTTTGAACAGTCATCAGCCAGGTTAGGCTCAAATACCCTGGCAGGCTCACATCAAAATGAGGAAGTAGTGAGCTTCAGTTTCGCTCGGGATAGAGCACATCGGCAGTGCATATCCTTAATTTAACTCCGGACATCGGATATACGGGGTGAGCTTGTCAGCACTACTTCACCCGAGCACGCTGCACACGTGAGGTTTCATGTCTGAATATTTGATAATGTTCACGCTTGAACGATGTGATTTGTTTGCGCGACGCCTTAGAGGACGACGCAGTAACAGTTCCGTTTGTGTCGATCGATTAAGCAGCTTGTCAGACTTCCCAACGGAACCTTCTTGACAATTTGTTGTTAGACCTTGGTGTTTGCGAGAATTTGCAAGACTCAAGTTTAGATTCACATTCATCAAGGGTTATTCCACAGTGACAGCAGAAGCGTTCCATTCCTAATTATCAGCAGGGCAGCATTCACATGGCCTATAACGATCACAATTATCCTGAGTGATCACCTCATGATGATCTCACTTGAGCCAAGGACCTTTTGTTCACCCAGATTCTACAGACCTCCTGTGTCTCGTATTTACCGCGTTTTTTATACTAATGGTACAGTTAGAGCTTGCAGGTTTTTTCTATTTCATGAGAACAATAACCACCTTCTGTTCCGTACACGAACATCTAGTTGCACTGGAACATCGATGAGTGTTCTTTCGCCTTCATGGTCAGAATGCGCGATGCCATTTCTGCAAATTTTGACTATGGGTAATGTCTTACACCCAAAACTCGCCTATCATTTATGCCTATACTTGCAACATTCAATCAGATTTTAAAATCAGTACTGGGAGTGTTAATATACTGAACTTGCCCACAAGTCTCGATCTCTAATTGTCAGTACTTTATTCATGAGCTTACGGGTACCAGTATGATGAACTTGCTACTCTCAGGTTTCCAGAAATGCGAGCTAAGTTATCAGTTGGGCACATTAAACCTTCAACCGTAAGCGTCACTACTGCTACTGTATAAATGTAAACACACTTTGAAGATCAGAACGCTTAGTCGAAAAAAATGAGAGGCATAGCCAAATGTAGTATGACTTCATATTACGCTTTGATTCACTGATTGGCTGCAAAAATGGACGAATCTGCTAAGTCTTGGTGTCAACAAAAGTTTATTTTTTCTCTTCCGTATGGTTTGCTTATTCTGGTAGATGTGAGCGAGAAAGCATAAATGTACAGATGGAATCTTGGTGAAGGTTTCTTGTGGTAAAAGGGGCGTAGAATATTTAAAAGTTTCCTCTTGAAGACCACCCCGAAGTTAGTACATACTTCGTACTAATGCTGATTGACCCACTCTAGGGTCGAAGCTGATTGTCAGTGGTTGTCGCTAAATCTTTCTATTGATGGAGACAACAGACGCACGAAACATTATCCCTGACTGTGACCACAATGAAGAAAACATTGTGACACAAATGCATAAATAGACCTCCGTCCCTTAAAGTGGCAGTAGGAGAATTCCATATAATTCAATCCGTATTATTTCACACTAGACACACGTGTGCTGTCTTTATTGTTACTGGTAATAATATTAAATGTGTGAATTTCGGAGGACTCGTGGTTGCAGCGCATCACAATTAACGTGACCAAAAAATGGCTTGGCCACCTGGTCGATATTATTGACCGGTTCACCCACCCTTCCTCCTTGCTCATCGAATTTCGCAAACAGGTCAAAATATTTTGGTTAACCTATTGATTGGTACAGAAATTTGAAGCGAACTTTTACATTTGAAAATTAAATACAAAACACAAAACGAATAAATTGCTGCTGAATGAACGTGTTATTACTTGAAAATGTGGTGGTGGCAGCACTACTTTAGGAGCAAAACCATTCATTTGTTTCCACTGCTTCAGTCTCTGCGCCGTCTTAGAGGACAATAATTGCTTCGGCTATTTGTACACACAGAGACTGGTGATTGCATTATGAAATGTCACCTGTGGCAAACGTGACTTAGAAAGCAATCAGTAATAGCTCTGGTTCCGAACGGGTCATTCAAGGTGCGCATGTCAACAGCACAACTTCTGCAGCAAAGCAGCCGCTATTCGGACTGCTATTCGGAATAATGGCAGCGGCGTGAATGCAACTTATATTTACCCGCTAAATTCAATATTTATCCCTAATTAATCCAAAAAAAACTATCTATTTAATGGTTTACCTAGTGATCAACTGCTGGTGAAACAGTGGTTAATGATGGTAACCTTTCCTGGTTAGTATGCGTATCAGCAAACAGAGTCAAGAGAAGCAAGCAGTGTAAAGGTCGAACGGTATCTTCGAGTGACGCGTAATACCAGAACCTCCGGGTAGGCAAAAACAAAGTCGGAGCTGGGTTTCTATACGGTACAATTAGGGTAAGAGAAATTCACGACTTGTACAAACCTCGACAGTAGATACGCGTCCAAAACAAACAGTCCGCTTAGACTTCAAAAGTGCAAAGCAAGGGAGAAAACAGGCTCCAACGTGCGACAGTCACACGTGCAAAGTCGGATACAAATGGCCGATGACCTCAGGGCCAAATGGGTGAAGTGGTAAGGACAAACGAACGTCAGTTCATATATACACACTAAACACAAAAGTGGGACGGGGGTTACAAATGGGAACAGAATAAACGTGGAGAATTTCATTGTCAACATAACGGATGATACACCGCCCTCCAAGTTCTTCACGTTCATTCAGTGGACGCCCCGGTTCTTGCCTACTACCTACGGTCAGCTCCATTCTAAGTTACCCCATCAGCCACCGACACGAATGGTCCGAGTCCACTCCTGCCACAAGTGCCGACTTCGATGGGGTACAAGCCTATTCGCGTCCCTCCAGTAAGCACACCCTTCTAATATCTCCCTTAAGAACGCCGCCCGTCGTTCTAACATACAGGGTTCTTACTAAGCCATCTGGGCTCGCCTCACAACTATCCACTACCCCTAGAGGCCATTTCTCACGAGGCAGGTCCTCACCAGAGACCAGAACCAAGTGTCCTCGTTTCAATTCTTGAGTTGCTCTGAGCCACTTGGTACGCATCTGCAACGTTGGCAGATATTCCCTTATCCAACGACGCCAGAATACGCCAGCAAGATAATTGACCTGTTTCCAACCGGCATGGTATCGCGAAGCCAAGCCGTCGCGACCGGGTACCGCAGGACAGCACTGCATCAGCAACAAACTGTTTGGAGTAAGCGGCTCCAAATCGTTGCTGTCTGATGATAGCGGGACTATAGGCCTGTTATTGAGAATCCGTTCGGCCTGTATGAGAAGCGTGTTCAGTTGTTCATCGGTCAAACACTGTTCCCTACATATACATAAAAGTATACGTCGTACCGACCTGATTATACGCTCCCACACACCGCCACGATGGCTAGCTGCTGGTGGATTGAAGTGCCACTGTATATCCATAGTCAAAAGTCGGTCTGATATTTTGCTCAGGCTCCAGAGCTTTATATCATCCCGAAATTCCCTCAGTGCGCCAACAAAGTTCGTACCATTATCACTGTATATATCGGTGGGCTTACCACGTCTACCAACGAAGCGCATCAAACATTGTAGGAATGAATCTGTCGACAGGTTGCCAGCCATCTCCAAATGGACTGCTCTAGTTTTCAGACAGCTAAAGATACAGCCGTAGCGTTTTTCCTGTGAACGGCCGCGTTTGGTTTTAAAAGGTCCGAAGTAGTCCACTCCCACACACTCGAAGGGGCACCAACCCCCTTCTACTCTGTCTGGTGGTAATGGAGCCATCATTTGTTTACTGAGCTGTGCGGACCGGCGTCTGCATAAAGAGCATGCACCAATCACACGTTTAACGGCACCGGTCCCTCTGATAATCCAATATCTCTGTCGAATAGAGGCCAAGACATGCGCTACTCCACAGTGCCCTTCCACTTCATGAAAATGACGTATGATTAAGGCGGTAATAGGATGTCGGTTTGGAAGAAGAGCTGGATGCTTTACTGACTGACTGTAGTTCGAGTAACTAAGTCTGCCCCCCACGCACAAAATGCCATCAACCAAAACAGGTGACAATTTTTGTAAGCTGCCGTTTTGAGTCCGATTGCGGGAACGCTTTGCATCCAGTACAGGAGCGTTAATCTGATGCAGCTCTCGTGCAAAGTGAGCAGATTGCACCATCTTTATCAAACAATTACGTGCTTGGCGGAGTTCGGATACTCTGATAACACCAGAAGGTAAAGCCTCCTTTCTCGCTCTGCCCTTCTTAATCAATAGACGTTGCCCGTAATGCAGTAACCAAGCCACGACCTTCGGTAGCTTCATCCAACAGGAGGACCAAGACATTAATGGGCACATGACATCATTTCCCTCCCGTCGGTTAGCCTGTGCTACAAGGCTCTTCAGAGCGTCTCTATCACAGGGGTCAACCTTGACCTGTAGCAACATCCCTTTAATGTCGGCTGCCACAGCAACTTGCTCTAAACGAAAGCCCACCATAACATTTACAAGTTTTGTGGTTAAATCGGGGCCCTGATACAGGTGGTCGTTTAGGGACACACCATGACATTTGGCAGCGCAGTCAGATACGATCCGAATCTTTTCTGGCTTTTTTGGGTTAATAACCTGATGATGTGGGAGATACCACTGCTTTGAATTTAATGACAATGTGGAGGCATCCGCCACCCGTTCAATGTATCCTTTCTCCATGTATGCGCGAAGCACCTTATCGTACTTTCCGTGTAAAACACGATCCTTGCACAGTCTAGTTTTCAGATTACCTAGACGTTTTCTAGCCACCTGGAAGTTATCGGGTAGGGTAAGTGCGTTATCTTTCCATGGGAGCGGTAGCTGATAATGCCCACTTACTCGCACTGCACTAGTCTCCGCTATCAACAGTGCTCTTTGATCCTCTAAAGAGAGACTAGTGTTCGATGCTGAAGTGTCTGCGAATTCCGAGTTGTACAGTCGCTGCAAATGCTCCTGGATGCCCTGACTACACCCGGTTATACAATGACTGACGACCTTCTGCTTCGTTCCGTTTTTCATCGGACCAAGGAGCATCCAACCTAGTAAAGTTTTCACAGCAAACGGCTGTTTTTTACCCCCCAGGCGCTGGTCGAAGACCCAGTGCGCTTCGGATACGTCACAACCAATAAGGATTCCCACATCGTCTTCAGTCAGTTCGTCGAAGGTAACTTCCTTAAGGTGAGGCCACTTGCGAGCCGCTTCTTTGATGGATGGGACAGCTCGCATAGGTAAGCTGTCAACGACGAATGCCTTGTCAACATCTATCGACTGGCTTTCATCCATTGATAAAAGCCTGATATCATTAGCTTCCGATGTGCATCCCATGGAACCACCCAGGGTATCAATAACCATAGACGTGGGTAGCAGCCTGACCCCATTTTTCACCAAAAGGTCCCGCCTTACCAGCGTTATGTCGGACCCAGCATCTAAAAATGCATACGTTGTCACCTTTCCTGCAGGACTGTCCAGCTTGATAGGAATAACTCCTAAGCGTGCCGGAAGTCGACTACCTTGAGTTAAGGCACACAAAACCTCCGGCTCTGAGGACGTCGAACCTTTGTTTCTGGGTTGTGATGTATGTAACAAACTATGATGTCGTCCCCTGCAACCCGGTTGGCCACATCGAACTACTAGCTTGCAATCCTTGGCCATGTGGGAGTCCCCTAAACAGGCAAAGCAGGCATTATGTTCTCGTATGCATTTCCACCTGTCAGGAACTTTCATAGACAAAAACTGCTGGCAACTAGAAATTGAGTGGGGCTGTAAACATAATGCGCAAGCACTTGGACGACCGTCTGCGTCTTGTCTGATGTTGGCTAGGAAATTGGCATAACCGTCCCGTTTAGGGGCTTGGTTGGTAGAAGTCGGTGTTACAGGGGGGCGTCTTACGTCCCCATCTCGAGCCAGTTGCCCGAACCGACTCCTTGCAACACGAGAGCGCGTGTTCACAAACTCCGTCAAGTCTGTGAACGTTGGATCCCGGCCACTCACAGATATCTTATCTGCCACCTCAGCCCATTTGTGCTGCAATGGCGAAGGAAGAGAACGCACAATTCTCTCTACAACCGCTAGTGAGTGCAAGTCTGAGACGTAACACATTTGCGTCAGCGCAATTTCGCAACTGCGCATTTTTATACACAAGTCCGACAAGGACTTGGCTGCTCCAGTGGTCTGTCGTGCAAAACGAAACAGGCTTTCTAGTAGACAGCGAGCGATAATATGAGGCTGGCCAAAGAGATTGCGTAAAATCTCCCGTGCCCTGGAGTATGCTACTTCCGGCGGAAGCATCACACATTCTTCAATGGCCGCTTTCGCGTCGCCTTGACAGTAGTGGATCAGATAAAGGAGCCTCTGACCGGCGTCCTGCACCTTGCTCTCAATATATAACTCAAATTGGCGGGTGAACCTCCAGTAATGACACGGATTACCATCAAAGTATGATAGTTCCACCTTTGGTAGGTCCATAGTGGCTGATGCTGGAGTGACGGAGATGGCTGGTTCTGGCCCTCTGATATCATCAGCATATCTTAATGGTCTTTCACCTGTCTGACATTGCTTCACGTACCCCGCTAATCGTTCATTTAGGGCCACTGGTTCCCAGACTTCATCTGGTGAGTCCTCTTCGGCCTCTAGCTCAATTTTGGCTAACTCAGTTTTGCTATGCGCCTCTAAGAGAGCCCGCTGGAGTTCGACCTCCCGCTTAACCCGGTACTCCTGGAGCTGAGCAATCCTTAAAGCTTTCATAGCTACACTACCTTTACGACTAGAAGCACAAAGTGACTTACAAGAACCAGGGCGCGAAGCAAACTGCATTGCAACTGTTTCCTCCGCAGCTTCAATCGTTTCCGTGTCCTTGGATCCGGTTTCCTTCACAGTTGTTCCAAAGGTTGACATCTTTCCTTCAAACAAGACGACGTAAGATGTCGAGTACTGTAACGGTCGAACGGTATCTTCGAGTGACGCGTAATACCAGAACCTCCGGGTAGGCAAAACAAAGTCGGAGCTGGGTTTCTATACGGTACTATTAGGGTAAGAGAAATTCACAATTTGCACAAACCTCGACAGTAGATACGCGTCCAAAACGAACAGTCCGCTTGGACTTCAAAAGTGCAAAGCAAGGGAGAAAACAGGCTCCAACGTGCGACAGTCACACGTGCAAAGTCAGATACAAATGGCCGATGACCTCAAGGCCAAGTGGGTGAAGTGGTAAGGACAAACGAACGTCAGCTCATATATACACACTAAACACAAAAGTGGGACGGGGTTACAAATGGGAACAGAATAAACGTGGAGAATTTCAAATGTCAACATAACGGATGATACTTACTTACTTACTCTATATTACCCGCGTTTACAGCTGCTACTGATAAGATCAGATATGTTCGTGTTTATACAGATCAAATACACACATCAAACGACTGGATCAGAAAATACTTCAAGAAATTGTATTTATTGGCCTTATTTGCTAGTGTTGGAAATATTCCAGATTTGGTTCACCGTTTGCCAATAAAGAGATACTCTCCGTTAGCCAGGCTATATGTATATGTACGTTACACTAGGATCTGATCTTGGTTTGGTCAAAATGTACGTTGCAGTCAGGTCCAGACAGCGACTGAGATGGCGCACGTTGACAGGAGGCCGCAATAATCGTGGCGCAAAACGTCGAATTCACTATCGCAACATATTGGCATTGCTAAATAATTAACTCGCTTGATTAAAAAATGAATCACTCTAACTCCGACCGATACTTTTGGTCGGGTAAGGAACCTAATAATTTTGCGCTGCATACGTGTAGCTCAGCGACTTGCGGGCTCCCGATTTACGGATCTGTTGCAATATTTACTCCAATAATTCACATGAACGACAATTGGTAACCCGCCACGAAACCCACCAAGACAACCTTGACAACTCTCGTTATCAAGATGGAATATCTTGGTGTTTCGTTGCAAATCAGCTAGCATACTTGGGACAGGATAACTCTTGTTTGGTTCATTGTACTCAGATGACAGGCTGTACAATGACATCGTGATTAGTGATCGTGGTGGGAAAAAAAGGTTTTCGTTGAAGTTGAGCCTTGAAATATGAGATCCTACTAGATCACATTCCAGTGGTTCTGCCCAAAACCATAACTCATCAACCTAATGGTTTATCTGGCTTATAAAGATGCATCTGCCGGAGCAGAACGTTGTGGTTGTTGTCCTAGTAGCCTGAGAATGCGGTCAAACCCACTTTTCCAGTAAGGTTCTCGATCCGGTGGATCCTGCCTGGCTTAACTGCCACTTAGTGTTACTGGTGAACGTGGAATATTTCGAACAATAAAACAAACAACTGGTGATCTAGGTCCCGCCCGAGCATCACAAAGTAAATCGTGGCATGCGGACGTTTCGTTGCTTGGTTACGGAAAAAACCAACAACCATAGTGACAAATTCAAAACTTGGCATACCGGAATGTCTTGACAAAACAATACTCATACTCATACAATACTCCTACTAACCCATGATCTTTTTTCACATTTCAAGTAGAACACAAATTTGAAGAAGATTCGGGGATCGCCTTAACCTGATGAGGAAAATTCAATCGGTTGCTTGTTGTAGAAGGGTCTTCGGTGAACTCGTGGCTAGTATGTTCTTTCGGTAAAATACATGGCGAAGTCTCGCATGGTATGACAATCACAACATGAGGCAGCTTTTTTAGTTAAGGTGAAGAAAACCACCACCTAGATATTCAGCTAGGATTCAGTTGAGTATTTCGAATCATTTCGCAACCGCGGGTATTTTTTCAAAAGTGGGCGCTCACTCCAAAAGACAACAGAACAGCTTTAGGGGGTGGATTCTAGAATCCACAAAGGTGACCACTGATACGTTTTGACTACAGTTACCTCTGCAGTCAGAACGCAAGGTCTGTCTGCAGTAGGTATCATGAATGGTGGTAAAAAATCTTTTGCCGTAGTTTTTAAATTCATTGTTGTTGCTCGCTTCCACGCTGCTGGTAGGTACCACTGGATAGGGTTGAATTTTCAGCGGGGTTTACTACCGTCCGCAAGAGGGGACCTCAGGTTCACTTTCGGGTGATACCAGGAGAGTTGACCCATGGATAAAATTAACCATTCTAAGCCGGCCAATATTTCCTGCAAGTAACTATAAGTTCAACAACATTAGGACAACAGAAACTTCTAGATTACCAGCTGAAACTGAGAGCGAACAAGCCGCTGACTTGCAAATGTCATTATGGAAATGTTAAAAGTGCCTAGATAGGTACTTGTTTTGTCACACTCGTCATGTCAGGTAAGAAGGTAGTATATTGTGCCATGATATTCTGCTCATAACCCTTTCGCACTGTTAAATTCTATCTTGACGACTAAGGACACGGTAGCCTGATGATTATTCGTCGAATGCATGAGAACAACACTATGCTGGTCGGTTCCTTACGCCAGAAGCTGATAAGCAGCACCACATTGTTACGTCCTCCCTTGCTCAGTGCACAAAATATGACAATTATAGTTTACGTTCTTTCGTGAATTTTCAAGTTTGCGCTCAAATACTTTTACCTGGCACGCTGTCATTCATGCCCAGAAATCTTATGAATATCCGTGAAATTAACGGTGTTCCCCCAGTTACCTTCGTATATTGATGAGGTCAGGGCTCAAGGAACACACGATTCTGTCACATGAAATGAGACTATTTCGGTGTCGATTCCGGACGAAATTCGTAGTTAATTTCACTAATAACACGTAACGAGTCATCTTGGTTTTGAGCGATATGTCCGATTTTGTGTAAAGGCTTGTGGACATTTAACAAGTACTGTAGACACCGGAAGAATTCGACCGAGATGCCTCAGCGATTTGGCGAATTCACACACAAAATAAGTCCCGAGGAGAAAAAACGGCTTGGTATGTATGATGCAGTGCATGGAGGTTTGAAATATTTATCTGGCCCTACGCATTTTTGAAGAATAAACACGTTCATCATTTGTAATATAAGTGACTTTTTAAGTGTGAAGAGGCCTAACGGATACTGAATGTCCGCAAAATACCCGCCACACAACATCCTCACTGCGGAGATGTTTTATGCATTACATCACTGTTCGTTTTGGTTTAACCCATAGAAACACTTCGTCACATGGGTTCTGTGACAGTATGTAACGGCTTGAAATTTTTTGCGTGGCAAACTTAGTGCCTTTATAGTTAGAAGCTGCACCGAGTGATTTTCAGAAAATTGCAGCTGATACACTACAAGCTTCTATGCTGAAGGGCTAGTCGGGTCGGATGTGAATTTGCGCTCTCAGTTAACTTTGAAAATGCCAGGGCGATTAGCTACCTGCTGGCTGCGCAACCGATCCCAGCAAACAAGTATCAGACACCCTTTCAAAGCCTCTATTGCTGCGGTCCTTCATGTGGTAGGAGCAGAAAAGCGATGAATTATGAATCGTAGACTGCGAGGTTGATAGTGTTGACAGAAACAAATGAAAACTGTCAGTTGCGTTTGCCCGTGTCTGCCAGCCATAAAAAATTGTTTTCTGTGCCTTGGGAAATCCAGAAAGGCCCATTATCCAAAAAATTGCCACAATTTCATCAGGCTGCATGAAACTTTAGTGTCGGCTCTCGCTAACTAACTGTGTAGTAAACAGCTATTAACAGCAGGCCGATACATTGTGCGCTGGATGTCATGCCGTGTTCATTCTACCACCTCTGCATTAATCAGACATTATTCTGATATCAACATTTTGAACAAGTACTTGAGGCACAGGGAAATTATGTCAGTCAAAAAGCCGCACAGCATTCAAATTATTTACATGCTGTAATAGGTCAGAGACGGTCGTACTCTTACAGGTAGGTAATTGCTTTGATATTTTTTGAAAATCTTTATTAATTACTGAAACTCTTCTTCCCAACGCCACTGTGTGTTGCATAAACTTATCATAACAAGGTGGCATCAGCTCAGTTCATCTGCGCATGATATTTTGCATTAGGATTGTTGATTTATTCATTTGACAACATTTCGAAGCTCTCGATCATCAAAGAGTATAAAATGACTACCTGCAGAACCTTAACTTCCGCTTTCGAGAATCATGTTAGGACCTAAAGGTTTGGCTTAATAGAAGTTATGTAGACTACGGTTATAGAGAATGCTCAATTTGTTTGATAAAAGTATGACACAGCAGAAGCCCAATAATCGTCTACTGTTTTGGGAATCAACAGAAAATGATCACGCTTGAAAACGATTGTACTTATAACAAAATAGAAAAGTATAAGGGAGTTCATAAAGTTCTTTTCTCTGCTGAGGTAATCCATACAGGAAATGCTTTTACCGAAGCCATAGTCACAGCTCCTGCGGGTATTTGTATGAGGTATGGGATATCTTTATCTGGTGCCAACTTTTGTTCACAAGCGGAGGAATTCGCGTTGAAGGTAACGTTGTACTCGTCTTCTAAGCGTTCACACGGACATTGGTAGTCGCCTACTTGCAAACTTATAGGTGAAGTATTGTGTGAAGATGTATGTGTGACGGAAGGGATAGACTTTAATTTTGAAATGGAAGAGTGGTGGATGTCTTGACTGCTTTGTTCATACGTTCCGGGAAGCACAAAATAATTTGGGTTGTTGGGATCGAAAACTTGACAACTTTGGATGGACTTCGTAACTTGCTGCATACTATTTGGTGTTGCCGGAGTCAGATAAATCACAGCACCACTAAAATCACAATGACATGGTGAAACTGCATCAGAGGAATCTTGAATGATGGACAACCTTGACTTTAGCTCCTCTGCAATGTCGTCATTTCCTTGAGGACAGTTGTTGTTTTGGTCGAACGTTTCGGGTGAGACGCGCGTGTGAGCAGTGTCAGTGAGTTCTATGCTAGGCCACCTGTTAAAAGGTGGACAACGTTGGAAAATGATTTTAGGCGCAGGTTGGTGTGTCCTGTGGGTCTTGACACTCGTACGATCATGCTTTCGTCTTCGATAAATACACAAAACAAATGCCGCAAACAGACCCAGTGACAGTAAGCTAAAACCAACGGCAGATCCAATAACGGCAGTAGATATCGTTATTTCCCATGAAGAGGAGATGGAGTTTGTCTTGGCTGCATCCAGACTACCGAATGACGTTTTCACACTTTGAGAACCTTGTGCATCCACCTGTGTTCCCCTCACAATCCGTAACCTTAAGCTGCCAGATGCAGGTTGAACACCTGGTCCAATTGTCAGTGTATATGGTAAGATCTCTTCAAGTCCTTGTTGAGTAAATTCGTTAGCGTAGGCTTCAAACTGAACAGCATTCATTTCAATCGTTTCTAATGTAATGTTGACCGATGGCATCAACGCTTCCTCCGGATGGCCGGAATTTACAAACAGTTGATCGCGGATTCTAAATCTACCTAACTTTGAATACGGAGCCGTCGGCAGGGTAAGTGTTGGTATGTAGGTCGTGTGAGAGCCTGTTTCTATTTTATTCTGTTGGCTGATAAATTCCCATAGCTCCCCGGCTTGGATAATCGACGAATTGATTAATGTAGTCTGACCTGGAGTTAGCTGGACAACATTCGTATCAATCAGTGGCTTAACTCGAACACGTAATTCTGCGACTGCATACACCTTCAAATCTGCATTTGCGATTGCATCGTTTGGATTCTGCAGGCTTACGTCTGGAAGTTCTTTTGCAAACAAAAGAAGTGTATCCTTGTCAGATTCGATAAAATTACCAAGGGATACGATAAGTGTCACAGAATCACTTGTCCCGGATTGATTAATTTGCTCATAAACCAAATGCCCACTGGCCAGCTGCTGATCAGTGAAACGAGTTACGGGAACTGTATCAAAACAGATTCGGCCATAAAGTGGTGCATGATGGATAGAGTATAGGAATGTATTGGACGCATTTTTGTTTGATATGTGTGTGATCCCACCGGCAGCAACCAAACTAGCCTCAATATGTTGATTTGTGATGCTGACGCGTGACTGACCTTGTAACAAAAGTACATCAGTTATGTTGACTACAAGTTCCGCTGGGACCACTCGAAACAGAAGAGTTCCGATTGGGGGATCCGATTTTTTCACGTTAGGTTTTGCTTCCTGTACCATGAATGAAAACGAATCTAGCAGAATGTGACTGAGACGCTTATCGTCGGCTTGATAGTAAACAAGACCTGATTCAACTTGCGATTGACGAAATGTACATGGATTTTCACAGCGCCTGCAATTTTCTATTGAGCTGTCAGTTTTCGTTGGATCAGAAAACATTTCTATTGAATCAGACGCATGCCTGATACAAAGAAACCCCCTATGTGGCTGCATAATGGCATGCAAAATTAGTTCTTGCGATTTGGTATCTTCGTCAACGATCTCAATGTTGGACTTTGAAAGTTGGAATCGCGCACCAGCTAGGACCGGAATGGCGATATCCCGATAGCTTCTAACCATCATATCAGTGAACGGTGGTAGGGATGTTAAAAGCGGACGAATGATACGTGGATGTTTGTTATTCACGGGCAAGATATAGATTGGGTATTCGATGCACGGATCGCTTTCTGTGTACGACATACGATCGAAGCGTACCTGTAACAGAGGATTTGAAATGTCAGTAAACTTCGTCTTTGCTATTACCAGCACAAACATATTTATCTACCTGGTGAAACAAAACGGAGTATTCGCTCACCAGAATAGACGCAAAAGTTCATGTGCGTTTATCAGCGTTTATCACATGAAGTGTGTTAGTTGTTGACCACCATATTCTTCTAATCAAGGGATATTCAGTGTATTCACAGGCGACACAATCTGACACTAAACCTACTAACGAAATCCGTATAGACACTTCGTACATACATACTTCGTACACACATGTACATACATGTACATACATGTTAATCCTTCTTTTATGTTCACCAATTCTGGTGTGCAATTCGCTAGCAGTCTGTACTATATAAACCTTAGCGCAATCGTCGCAGTTAATTTTATGCACACAGTCCCTAGTCCGTTCGATCGACAAGGGATCTTTCAATTGCACCGAAACTGAACGTAGCGTCCTTCCCTTGTGAAAAGCTACTCGAATGTTTGCTAAGTTCAACAGTCTTCGAATAACCTCCGATGCTCCTGCTTTATATGGAGTGACTGCTGTGCCAGTCCATTCCTAACTGCGTCTAGATACTGGAGCCAATATCCTTCTTAGTTGACGCTTAATCAAACTCACTGGGTGTCCTATTTCTTGAAGTTTGTTGGCAATCTCGAGTTGAGCTGCCGTTCGATCGATCTATTCTGTGCACAGCGCTCTGACTCGACGAAACATCGACGAGACAATACTGGCGTACACGGACTTTGTGTGTGCTGATGAGTAACTCAAGACGGTTCCTGTGTCTGTTGGTTCCTGGTAGATAGTACTTTTCAATTTTCCACCAATCTTATAAGTTATACAGTCCAGAGAGGTTAGTGTGCCCGAAGTCGGCTCTATTTCCATGCTAAACTCAATGTGTGGGTTTAAACTATTGAGATAGTCGTGGAAGCTGTTCACGTTATTTCATTTGATTACAACAAACGTGCCGTCAATGTAACGCCAAAAGACTTTGGGTGGACAATGATATCCGGCGAAGGCTATTTGTTCGACGTCCTCCATGTAAATATTAGCTAAATCTGGGGATATTGGAGGTCCCGTTGCAAGACCTTGTTCTTGTGAGTAAACAGTTGTGTCAAAAACAAACTGATCAAAATTCAAGCACACTCTTATGCCCTCAAATATTGCATCCACCGAGAGCTGTGTCCGTTCCCCGAGTGTCGTGTCTGTCAGTACCAACCTCTTAGTTACCTCCAGAGTATCTGCCCTAGGGATGTTTGTGCACATTGAGGTTACGTCAAAACTCACAAGGACTTCGTCCATCTCCAAATAAATCCCTGCGACCTTGCTTGCAAAGTCGTACGAATTCCTGATGAAGGTGTCTGATTTCCCCGTGAGTGGTTTTAGTGTACCAGCTAAGAATCTGGCCAGTTCATGTGGTGTCGATCCTATACCATCGACTATTGGCCCTATCGGTACATCTATCTTGTGGATTTTTGGCAGTCCGTAGAGTCGCGGTTGAATCGCACATTTTGGATACAACCGATACCACTTACCTTGCCCTAAATGGTTTATTACGAATCTTAAATATCTCCCAACTTCAAACTTTACTCTCATTCATTATCGAAGTAATACTGCTACCGGTAATTTGTCGATAGGGTCAATCGGCGAGGTGTTGCCTGACATTTAGAAGATAGTCGCTCTTGTTCAGTACTACTGTGGCTTTACCTTTATCGACGTTGGTAATGACAATACTATCTACTTGTCTCAGTGTGTTCAACGCTCTCCGCTCTGATGGTGCAACATAGGAGCTCACTCGGCTGTTGGGATTTCAGGACTGTGACCAGTTGTATCCGTATTTTCTCCGCTTCCCCTGAAGGGGGCTCTTGAAACACTGACTTTACACTAGGAATTATTTCGTCTGCTCTTATTACTTTTTTGCTCACAGCAAAGTTTAGTCCCTTTTATAACAGACAGAGTTTGTTTTCACTCAGTGGTTTATCTGACAACTTGGCTACACTACGGTAATTGGTGGATAGTTTCTTCGTTTCTGTGACCTTGCTGGAGCCCTGAGTCATGGAAAGCAGTTGTTCGAACTTACGGATCTGCCTCTTCTTGCATCGCCAGCCCTGTGTAAGCTTCACTTCTGTGGCTTTGGTGTTGAGCATTTGGAATTCGGCGGTTGAGATTGCGGTCTGAAGATCTTGGCTGAGTTGACTGAGTTGACTATTAGTTCTTATCGTAATGTTTTAGTTGTTCTAAACCGGTAGATCTGGTTCGATTAGCATCAGTTTTAATCAGTGACTAGCCAAGTCATTAAAACGGATCACCCCAATGATAATATCAAGAATTTTACTAACTGTATTGTCTCATAATGGTGGCAACACACTGCTGAGTTTCGGTGCAATATGCAACTCATATTGCCATTCTTGAGTAATCCGCTGATTCACACTTGTTATTTTGAAGCTTACATGCGACCATTTTAAAGGCAGGCTTCAATTTCATATACAGACCTCTGAAATTATAAATGGGTTCGGAACTACTTCAATATATTTTTCTCTGAGGTGTCTTGTAAGTACATCCTTCGTAAGCGTATCATAACAACAATAACTCTTCGTACTTCACTACGGCATCATCGTGAATGCAACACTTCATCGTGCACCATATTTTGAATCTTGGGTTAAAGAATGTTACGATAATTCAAAAAAATCAGAATCACATTCGGTTAGCGTTTTCAATTGCTTAAAATTGGTATACAGGTGTAGCGTGGACGATGAAAACTCTAGGACTGCAACAACCTGATGAGCCAAAAGAAGTGCAGGAATCGCAGTGAAATTACGGAGTCAGAACACTTGCCGAGCAGTTGAATGTGAAAAGAATCTAAATTTACTCAATTTCTTGTCGTAAGTTTACGCAGAAAACGCGTTTACGGCTTACTTACGTGCCATTAGGCTCAGAATACACGCCTGGGTTTGACAAGGTAAACTTTAACCAATAGTGCGCCATTGATTCCGTTTACTTCGGTGACAAAAGCTTGAATTTTTAAAGCGTTTAGTGCATTTGAGTGATATCTTGGTGACAAACTGCACCGGCAGTCAATACGACTAACAAATTAAACACAACCAATGAGTAATTACCGAAAAATGGCTTCTGCTATCGACTTATCACCTACACTAAAACTGTCTTCTTAATTTTGCCGCTGTTGTGCCGCTAAGTGTGAAATAGTTTCATGTGGAAAAATCAAGAGCATCAAGGACGGTTGGCTGCAAACGATAGAGATATTAAAAAGTCCATAAAATTGGATTACCCAATCACTTTAGTATGTTTTCGACACAATTAACTCAGACACTTTTGTGAACGAGGAGCGATGGCAGAAACAGAGCAATGAAATTTGCCCGGGTGTTCACCTACTTGAAATAGGACAAAATCACTTGTGGTGTCGGAGCCATCATGCTTGTATAGGAGTGCAGCTGATGATCCATTCAGCAAACTATTCGAGAACAGATCTCGACTATCCACAATCCTCGAATTCGACTGTAAAACTCCATGGGCTGGAGGATGGCAGATCCAGTAATTTGCGTGGGTTAAACGTGGAAGCTGAATGACAAAAAAACAGAACAGTCCAACTGTCAAAATACCACGCAAAATATTTTATTGAAGTAATATGAATTTTCAGTTTATTTTTGCTCAATACACTGTAGTATGTGCCTTCCATTTGGTTGTCCCTATTGATAGACCACTAGTACACAACCACCCAACAGTGACAAGTTTACTACCTTTTTCCGAGTTTCATATAAGACTGAGCTGTTGATGGAAACGCACTGCATTTCGCATTGTTGGAGACATGAGTAAATCGGGTTCTTTTGTTGTCCAGTTCAAAACAAACGCAACAAGAAGTTTGCGTGAATCAGCACATCTCACGACTGGATTTGAAATCGATGAGCGTTACTTTAAATTACGTTAATTCTGTACAAATCTACCGCCAGGGTGCCCAGTAAACTCTGAACGAATTATTTTTCTGATAGATCAGCGGAGACAACATCTCATCTATCGCGTCAAAAGTTCAGAGATACAGTGCAGCTAGCCTACATAAGCGGGATGTTGTCAGAGGACAAACGTGCATTGCACTCGTTTGGGAGCTTTTGGAACAAACGGGTGACTAGATTGTAAAAGGGGACTAGTTAACAAGAGATGCGGATTTTTATTTTGACCCAGCGTCTTGATGACAGCTACAGGAATGTTGGAATGATTCATCTTGTTTGGCATTCTGTCGGGCTTTCGTAAAAAACCTAATTTACCTCGTGGCTGTAGATGTTCTCGTAAACAGCAAGCTTATTAAACATTGGAAGACATGAATTTGGCGAGCTTCGGTTCTGTGGAAAAATCTCTGACTCTTTGATGGAAACGCCTTCCTTCCACACTCTAGGCTGTTCGTAATGCACGAGATGCATTTTGCCCCATGCTGGTTGTTGACAAGTTGCTTAGGAGTGGCGGGAATATGTAACTATTACCTTTATTTTGATTTGTGAAAAGGAGAATAAGTGGAGAATAATGATACCACTGTCGGTGTAGCGTTCGCAATGAGCATTAGCTAATCAAATGGGTGTATTCAGTGAAGTACACCGTCGGTACCAGTAGCACTTGTCGGTTAAATTTGCTGTGATTATTTCCTGAGGTGAACTCAGGACCAGCAACAATGAAACTATGAAGTTATCGCTGACAAATAAGTAGATGACTGAAATAGTTATTTCAAAAACATTTACGACGTTCTTGCAGCGCTCTGAGAGTTTGGGATAATAGCTGCCCAAAAACTGGCTTCTATTCATAACAGATGGGTTTATTTTACTAAATGGTACACGTTATATGTTAGTTGGTACAGGTGAGACAGGATGCCTCTAAACTCCTTTCAGTAGTTTTGTAAGATTTACCTGTATAGTGAGGACTGCTGCGGGAACAATTGTCCATGCCATCATGACCCAGTAATCTAAGTCTACCTGGAGAATTTGATTACTCACGAACAATTTCACATACCGGAAGGATTTCGATCCATTACGACTTGTACTAGCCCCCTAAAAATGGCAGCGCAAAAGTTAACTATACGAACCAGCAAGAGTAGCTGGGTACCAAGTTCAAACTCCTACTTAATTCAAAACTTGGGAAATCTTCTAGACGTTGAATTTTTCGGTCACGACATTCGGTGAGCAAATTTTAAAGCTTTGAAAACGGCAGATTTATTAATCTCATTTCAAAGTAGGTCCTAAACTAAGAGAATTCATCTTGTTAGTGGAAAAATCGATTATCAAAATGGCATGGCTACATTCCAAAAATACATTGTTCGACTTGGCTTAGGTTCGCCATTGACAGTTGGTGATTGGTGCATTAGCGGCGAAGCAACTAGGAACACACGAACTAGGAACCATAGCTGATCAAAAAAGAAAGCAAAAGGTCTTTGCTTGAGAAGGAATACCAAACATTCTGCTCGCCTGTAGGCAGTAGGAGGCGTTTTGCACACAGACGCGAAAGTTAAAGCTATATAAAATCGACTCGAAATTTGAGGCATGTTTTCGACTGCAGACACCACCTTTTTTGTGATAAAGAGGAACAATGCTAAAATATGTTGAAGAAAAACTTTAAAACACGTTGAAAAATTAACAATTGTATTGCCCATACTTATCGCAGAACGGTTATCCATGTTGTTCACCACAAATGATGGTTCTTTGTTGATGACCTTCAAGTTTCCAAACGAAATACCATATCATAATTCCTCCTCCTTTAATAGCAGCTTAACCCGTAATAAGGGTTTGGTTTTCCATTTATTCCAAATATCCGTAGTCTCCGCTTGTCGTCTCCTTTGGTGCAAATGCAGAATTTACGCCACATGCATCTCCTCTATAAAACAGGTAAACGGTATTTTTTCTCGTATCTAGAAAGCATCGGCATGCGGCATAGTACATGGTGTGGAATAAATAATGTAAATTCCTAGTCGGTTGCCCTTCGAATGGCGTTCTTATTCCCGGTCCGATGTAAATTGTTGTCGTGACAGTCAACAAAGCAGTTCACAGGAGAGGGATTGGGACTCTACCGTTCAGAAGGGTTCTATAATATTGACGCGACCCGGACATGAACTTTGTATGGCCTTCGTCCCAGGTTTCAATCGAACACCTAAACCAGAGCTACCACAGAACAATAAGCCACCACAAAATATTACCCGATTGCTCGCATGCTGCTTAAGCAAATCCATCACAAATCTGTGGCGCATGTACCAAAATTCGGCTACAAGTGTATTGCTGAGATGTTACGTCTAGCTTACAGTGACACCGTCTGTCAATAGTTTGATCCATCGAAATCTCATTTTTAATTAAATATCATTTATAATCTTAGGGACACAGGAAAGTTGGTTGCGTAGTGATAGCCAGGGGCGATTGTCGTGAAATGTTTCTGCAGCCAGCCGAACTAGGGAAAGGCTGTCGCGATGTGATGCAAGAAATAAAACGAGGATCAACTGTGCACAATTCTTTTAAGCATATCGAATATGATTTGAAAGGACTTCACGGAGTCAGCGGTGAATAATTTCAGTAGTCTTGGGGATAATATCGAGCTACATTCTAACTGAAAGTGAATTTGCAGCTCGTTCTAGCGCTGATCTTGAGTATCGTTCAGGAATGATATTCTAACCTACTTTTGCTATACCACAGTTACATTCCAAACCCATTATTTTTTTAAAATTAATTTTGAAACTGTATCATAGCTCCGACAATATGAATAAGGCAGCATGGGCAAACTTGAGGGGTACGAACAGAGCCGTGGTGACCTAAAAAATAAATAAAACAATACGCTTGTTTGGGCAGGGTTCTTCGATAGAGAAAAACTGTTCTAAAAGTCATTTGCTCTCACGCTCTCCTTCAAGCTCCATCTTAATTGATCTACCTAAGAGTGAAGCAAATGTCTGTTCAAAAGCATTTCATTTCTGTCACCTTATTACACTGGATGTAGTGGATTCTATGTGCGTCTGCCCTCCTGTTGTTTAGAAGTTTGCCACTGAAATATCAGGTCCTTAAGAGGGAAGATTCCTGGAGTTTGCAGAGATATAAACAGACATAAAGAGTTAGGAAGGTGCCGATCAGGAATGAACACCAGACAGTGTCAAGTTTGTTCCCCTTACGTCGGTCATTACCGGAAACTACAAGCTTCTTGATCAACCATTGGTGTACGGAAGCTCGCTTCTTGAAATATTGCAACATACGTGGCGTACACTTTGAATTACTTGATTGCATCAGAATAATTTTGCTTCAAATAGGGTGATTGTCCGTGACCGAAAGTTCTGATAGAAAGACATGAGATGTTTAGGCAAAATAAGCAAAATATCCAACCATCTGCCTCAAAAAGTAGACTCCGAGATATTTGGAGGAACCTTTGACTGAACTTTTATATTTGAAGAAAAAAATCATAAGTATTGTCAGAAATGTTGGGTCGTGTATCCTGTTGGAAAAAGGAAACTTCGTATTTTCACGCGCAAATGAAGTCGCAGCTTGAGAAAATTCAATTCGTGCAGGATAATTGCATGTTCAATAAGGTACTCAAAACAAGCCTTGACAAATTCGACTTTACCATATTACAGTGCGGCTAAAGCATATCGAAATGCAGCCAACTGTAAGGCTGTGAATTTAGGTTTGTGTGCTGCTCTGGGGTTTCCAGCACACTATCGCGCAAAAATGAGGAATTAGAAATCAATTTATGAGGGTGAGCGGAATAAATACAACGGAAAACTTCTTTGATGACCAGATGCAGGTGTGCAAAGCTGGCGATTCCTGATGATATTTAAAACACATTTGGTATTTGCATGCACAAGATGATAAAACAACATAATCAGTTTTCAACCAGAAACATCCAAACAAGTTCAGTGGCAGTTTCGCAGTCTGAATGAAAATGTAAACCAGCTGTTATCGAAAGATTTTTCAGCTTTATTTACTGCATATACAGTTGAGTGTGTCTAAGTGGCTCAGAATTTTAATCTATCAAACGCCAATCAATCGAAGCTTGTCTCATCCGGATTATGAGTCCAATTCAGGAGTCAGTTGGTCGGTTATGATTTATTTTTCGAAAACGCCCGTCAGTTTTTCAAGGACAATCTAGGTGTCTTTTGGTGTCATATACGGAGGCCAACAAGTTAGAGTTGGTCTTCTCAACACCAGTTCGTCCATGACTACAGAAAACCACTATCAGTGTCAGGTTGCTCTTGTTAGCCGATTCTATAGTAGTCAACTGATCAACTGGATTCCACTGCCCAGGATGGATGGGAATATGGGGAAATATGTACAGAAAAAGCCACCGCCGCACCAAAAAACCTATCTGCAAAGCCCATTCAAGATGGGCAGAAAGCCAAGGTAAACTTTTAAAAGTGATCGGCCAGATTAGACAATCAATTTAGAGGTGACCTCAAAAAAATTGCACGCCAGTTTTTCCTGACAAATACTGTATATTCTCATTATGGCTTGGTTTCTTTAAGCTGATGTTCAGGATTTTATTATCCATTACTGACATTTATTCCAATCATGCCTGGTTTCACTTAAAATGTTTAGTTAAAAGCGGTCATTATACGTGAAATCGCTCAAAGAAAGTAAAGGGCTTAAAGAAGAAAAGTGGAAACAATGAACTAAAAGCGGATAGAGATAACGTTGGTCGGATCCTATCTAACCGATATAACTTGATGTTGCATGTTTTGACCTGGTGAGGTTCTTTGTGGAAAGATATAACTAAAACCGAACCACAATGCGGTGTAAAAGTTGCGTGCTTGTAAGCCATACAACTACGTCTGACAGGTTTCCCGGAGTCGCTGTGAAGTAAAAGTAGCCTGGCTTTTTTCTTTGTTCAACAGACCTTAAAAAGCTGGATTCAGTTCTCTGATTGACGAACGTAAATTCAGCGTGTTCGCGATTGGGCATAGGTTCAAAACACTTTTAATGTCATACGATTCGCAACACTGAAGTTTGTTCAGTTTTCTAATGATAGATAAATTAATCGTTTTTGGTATTTCAACCCATCTCCCCGGAAATATCACGAGAGTAATTATTAGTAACAGAGGCTTACTTGTAATCCCCTCGCATTGGCTTGTTGTCGAAGGAGCTTTATCGGTGAGAGATCAAGTGTGGCAGGCTTGATTTCCTTGGCTTGTCCTTCTTCCAGGACCAAGGGCGTGATATCAACTAATCGGATTTGGTTTTGCGGTGTTATGTGTAACAAGGAGGCATTAATGATGAAACTAATGAGACGGGTTTCCTGTGAACCAGATAAGGGCTTCTTGGCGATTTGTGGCGGACTATTAGGGGTGGAAAGCGTAACTCGGAGTACCACTCGATCTTCTACGTTCTGGCTGAAGTTGATTGGGATTGTTGTTCGCAAAGTGTAGGCAATTAGATTCCGATTAATTTCATCCTGAAAGACAAAAATACGTTATATGAGTGAAAAATATTGCTACAGAAGTTTTGCAGAAGTCAAATTTTGTTCATTTCACATAGTCTGTTTAGAGTTCGTCCAGGTTTGTGTGATAAATTTTGTCATAAGACAATAATGGTCTGTCCAATATTGCATTCGGTGTAATCTTACCTATTGGTAAAGAAAAGTACGCAAAGTTTGGTGCAAGTGTGGCAATTGTTGGCGACATAACTCAAATCAAGTTCTTTTGGGGGCCTGTGCATCGCTATCAGAAGGATTCTAACACTCAATTTCGGTATCCTGAAACAGCTGAGGGATAAAGGCCCACAAATAGAGACTGAGAGGTCTGTTAGAATTCAATCGTGGATTTTCGGTTGTGCTTGTACAGCCTTGGACAACCTGAAGGTGTTTCAACCTTTCAGGTTTCATGCTAGTCACGCACCAAAATGGCTTCACAAGTAAATTATAATTGTTCTTCTCAGACGCAGAATATCTGACGTTAAGATTTTACTACCCTGCATCACTTGCTTGTCGACTGGCTTAGTGTTTGTTTATAGGGTGAAAGTTTTCTCCGGACAAAGAATGGATGTCTCCAACAAGTGCTTCAATATTGCTTAGGCGTCGACTTCAACCATCAATAGTGTCCCCATTATTGCTCAACCGATAATGGGCATGAGATCATTTATTTGAATCGGAGAAAACTCAAATTACTGGGACTTTAGCTAGCAAAATACTTTATAAATTTTGTTGTGTAAAGACCAACGCCACATTCGAATCCCTGAGGTTTCTGTGGGGTACTTTGAGCACGCACTTGTAGGCCGAATATCTGATAAATTCAACTTATTTCAGATTCACCTGGTCACACGCAAAACGGAAAAGCTACTTATTGGTCTGTTGACTAGAAGTAGACACAGATCTAAAAGATTTTCGTACCAGTCCAGTTTACAATGCCAGTAACCATGTCTGAGGTAAACGGTTGCGATAGTTCAGTGGGACTGCATAAAATAGACCGATATTCCACCATGTTGCTGTTAAACATTAGGCTCACCGTAAATAGGTTCGTGTGACAACCTAAAAGAGAATATTTTCGCCTTTCTTAAATGTGCACTCAAAAATAAGTGTTAGACTACTAAAGTTTCCTCGCTACTGTTCCACTTTCCTTGACAGTCTAAGTTCAGCATAATTAATGGAATGGTTTTGCACAAATCTTAGTACCAAAAAAACAGTATTTTTAGAAATTAAAAAACGGAATTCCGCCATTTTTAGTCATAGTTAGCAGGTACACATCATGAAAGCATTGCGAATCCAGCAGTAGATTCGCGTAATATCAAACTTGCAGCTCAATCTCAAAAAGGCTCAAGGTTCTCTATAGCTATTTGTTCATAGAAAATAAGTTATTGAGTGCTTAACAATGCCTATATTTTTGAATGAAGAGTACATACATTTTACATCTACTATCTGGCCTCCGTATACTACACAAATGGGTTCTTTGATACGTTAATGAATGCATCATAACACAAAATAGGGAGATGAGGTTAGCATCGGACAGTTGGTTGCTGTGTGAAGAAGGCATCTCACCGAATGAATGAAAGCCATCAAGTTCATGGCCCTTTTACCTTTAAAAACAATTGCATAAATGTATGAATTCGAATTTCGTATAGTCATGCATATATAACTAGGATGAACGCTCTGCGAATAACTAGTTTCTGAGAAAAATTTTATTGTGGATAGAACAGTATGCTAGCTGCAAGAATGAAGCTTATTTTGGAGACAGAGTTGATCTGTTGAACGCTGATAGCGCACGCAGTCACTACTGAACAGCTGCTTCTCGCCATCCTGTATCATCTTCAACACTAAATGGGCTGGTGTTTTGCCCGTTCTATATATACTTGTATGGCATAAATTCCCTATAAGAACTGAAGCACTAAACGATTAACAATAGTTTAGTTTGGCACTACGACGCACGTCGTGACTGCAACCCCTTATTTACTTGCGATGGCAGCAAACGCAATGGATCCACGTACACCTAAAGAGAGGGAAAATGGCGTCTTGTTTTTTGAAGGCGAATAAGCAAAATTGAATAATATGTGCTATGTACACGTTGTCTAGTATCGACCTGCATGACAGCCTATGGCTATGTCAAGTGATCTCATCGTGACACGTTTCAACTAAAATATCGAGAACTTGGTAGCAAAAATGGCTTTTGGACTTCTTCCCACATAACTCCAATGAGTCTCATAATAATGCATTGCCACCCCGTAGCATTCCCACAATTTTTCTATAAATTTCCGATTTCCTGCTATTCGTGAAAGCTGTTGATCACCAGTTGCAAGATTACCTTAAATTCAACAAAATAAATGGTGCCGAATTAATAACAATGAAGAAAAGAAATTAAAGCAAAATGCATACCTGTGTGAACGTCTGAGCATTTGGTGAATCGTATGTGTCTAAACGAGCACTTGCTTGGGATTCTTGTAATTTTACCAGTCTACCGTGTATTGGGAATGACACGACAGTGTAGGTGATGACAATGGGCAACTGTTCACATGTCTCTTTCATCGTCGCGGTGTTTCTGTCAATATCATTTTGAACATCACATTCTAAATGTGCGGTCTTTCTCACCAGACCGTCCACTGTGTGTAACAAATGCCAGGAAGTAATAATCTCATACCTGAAGAATACAATAAAAATTTCGCTGAAATTTTGGGCTTGTTCAATAGATATAAGAAAAGTTGTGAATATACATCGGTGCAACAATGTCAAAGCCACATCCTACATAAAGATTGTGCCATTTCGCATAACATCCGCAGGATATGGCGACTCAGTAACAAGTATCCTCGTTGTGGAACCTTCAAAAGGCAAGATGTGTGGCTGGAAGCTCAATGTTCTAAAAATATCCCGTTTCCAGGCTAAATACATCCTAGGACTTGATCCTCCAAAGCAGGCAAATGCAAAGGTTGTCGATGTATCCTAAGTAGAGTTTAGCAACACCCGATTCCCGCAAGTCCATTTAGTCCTCACTGTTACAATTATACTACATTCAGAGTGGACTGTCGAAAACAGCGTCCGAGCGAGAAGCGTAGATACGCAAGCTGTAAAACACAGACCGTTTTTGGAAGGTTATGCGAAGCAAAGATATTTGGAAATGGAAAGGACCATGGATCATAATATCCACATCTTGGAACCACATTACACAAAACACAGTAGACAGGGAGGAGATTAGGACTGAATGAACGCTAAATAAGCAATGGAAGCGGTAACAACCTTGCTAGTTGCATAGTTGGTAGTGCAATAGCCGTGCGTTATATTTCACATCCACAACTGGGAGTAAAATGTTCTTTTATCGGCAGTTTAGTTCAGTTCCGGAAAACGATATTCAGCATCATTGGGACTCAGTAATTAACATTCAGCTTGACGGCTATAGGTTGAAAAGCACATCACTGTAAAAGACTATATTGTTTTATCTACCGATGAGTGGTCATATTATGCTAAGTCCTCTGTCTCTCTTGATGAAAACATTTTACTACACTTTCTTACATGATATGTTTTTCTTTGACTTTCCCAGAAACATATACACATGCTTACACATATCAGGTTTCTTTGTCCAGGATAAATTTTTTACAGAATAGCTATAGTTTTTTAGTCCGATAAAAACCCTGTCAACCCAATACGTTTCTTCCGGCACTCCAGGATTAACTATGAGCTAACTCATGGCTTTATTGTGAGACTCAGACTGGTAAATACAGTTACTCAGTTTCTTCAAAGACCAGTAATTCTCGGATATTTCTCGGGAGTTTGTCAGATGTTGTCACTCTCACGGAGAAAGAGCTTTCAAAAGCGGGCGACAGCTCAACTAGTTTGGAACACATCACCTAGTGAATCACAATTCACAGGACCTTGTGAACTAATACATTACACAGCGCGTGACCTAGAACCTTCAAGACAATTTACTCGTGATAAGTCAACAGTGCTGCTTTCACATATCTTGCTGTATCAAAATGGTATTCAAGTTCCTAACGAAATTCCTTAATTGTGTAAAACTGTGGCAAATTTCTGGCGACCAATGCCTCCATAAAATTACACCATCTCGGCTATAGGACTGGCCACGCTATGCAGTGGCTTATCAGTTTACGGTGGCAGCAATTTAAGACAATTACAGTTTGTGTTTCGCAAGGCCGTCAAAAACCTACCCCAGTGCGAACGCCAGAAGCGGCCGATTATTCACCAGCTGCAGTGAGGCGCTGTACACCACGAATCGATGCCTGTAAATCCCTGTGATCTCGGAATGAAGAGAGAGCCGAAAGTCAAAGCCAAATGTGCCACTGCGATTATCGTCTGCCGATTAAAGCAAAAAGAGAGTGAAATTCCCCCAAATTATTTAGCACATCTGTGTTTTTTTTCTCTGGGAACAATACACTGACATGCATGATAAATGAGTGGCAATGTAATCAATTTATTTTGATCATGACAGCCATCCACTGGGAAACCCATGGTGGAATATCCCTATACTTGTCAAAAAATCAGACGCTGGTGGCATTAATAGAGAATGATTGCATTTCTCTAAATCCAAACGTATTTGTCTCTGGTTGTAGTTTTCGCACGGCCAACGGATGTTGGAGTAGGTCAGAAGTAGACCAGGCACTTTTTCACAGACTACACGACTGACAAAAAACATGAACTTTTTGGGTTTGTTAGGTCATGCCGATTGGTGTAAAACAGTTTCAAGTCAAATATTAAGCTCTTGCCAGTTGCTTGGCTTTTTCGCCCAAGTGTAACACAAAATACAATCAACGCCAAACCGCACTTCCTGAATTTCAGGTTGGGGCACAGGTTTCACACTACAGTTTACTATAGTTTGCCAGACTCCATATTCTTGTGTGACTCTTAAGACATTCACAGAACTCTCATTTGAGAATCCATGGAGGACTACAGGTGTGTGAACAAACGCAACCGAAGTCTACTTGATGGTGCACAGAAAACAATATGGGTCCCCAGGTTTG